AGCCCAAGAGCTGGAGGTTGCTATGAGCTGTGATACCACAGCCCTCTACCGAGGCCAACAAAGTAAGACTGTGTCTCTAACAACAACAACAAAAAAACCACTCAGGCCCAGTTTTTCTGTTTAGAAAAGCATTTTTGTCTTTTGGTGTATTCTAGAATATTCTGAAGATAGTTAATTCATTCGTTTAGAAAGTTTTGCATTGTGTCCTCTAATAAGGCACTTGGAAATTCTCCCTTTTGGGGGCTTGACTTTCTAAATGTATTTTAACATCTATTTATAATATTTAGAATTTGTAAGAAGAGATTTTTTTTTTTTTTGGCTTAGAGCCACAGTCTTTCACAAGGGGAAGGTGCAGAAATCTTTCTCCTCCAGTTGCATGTTTCTTCTTACAGCTTGGCTTGCCCTTTCCCTGCTTGTGTCGTGTGCCCTGTAACACCATGTTTGGATCCCAGCATCAGATGGTGAGTTCTCCTTTTGGTTTGTAAAATAATAAGGAATTGTGTTTTGGAACTATGTGCCTTTCACATAAAGTTCTGTTTGCTGGCCTACTAATTGTTAGCTTGTTTATTTATTGCTTAGGTCTTTTCATTCTGTAATACATACTTTTTTGTGAATGTCCATAAAGATTGGCTGATGTATAAATCAGGAGTACCTGGCTATTAAGGAAACCTTGGAATTACTGTATTACTTGCTTTAAGTAGAAACATGGCAGCCCAATTAAGCAATCAGGAATTCCTTCTGAAGCTCATACTTTTAAGTATTATAGTTATCACTGTTGCCTAGATTTGTGAATGGGCATATTTTGAAAATGAGGCTCTTCTTTGTAATTATGGAATTGAGTACATCTTATTTTTAGAGATGTAATTGATATAGCTCCATACTAAATCCCAAAGGAAATGGAAGGGATAGATTTTAGAGTTCTGCATTTCTTTTTTCAATGTAGTTTCATTTTCTAATTCAGATACATCAATGAGTAATAGTAGAAATATATTCTTGGCTGTTTTGAAGGGAGTTGAGAGAACATTTTCTTTATTAAATGTTTAAAACTAGAGAAATGTTCTCAAATACATAAAGTTTTTAACTTTAATTTTATTTAACTGATTTTTCTAGTCTTTAAGGAAAACTATTTGATTTTCTTATCTATGATGAGTGAAAACAGAGAGATTGTTAAGAATGGAGAATTGATTTATGTGATTAACTTTGAGTTATGTGCATCTTTTGCTAGTTGTAATTTTTCATTGTATAGCTATTATGTTATTATACTGGTTGTCTCATTTTTTTATGGTTTGTGTTTTGGTCCCAGGATGTGGCATTCCTGGAGAAACTGATTAAAGATGACATAGAACGAGGAAGACTGCCCCTGTTGCTTGTTGCAAATGCTGGTGGGTAATCATGAACCTGAATCATCCATTTTGGTATATAAGAGGGAGCCTAGAAAAGACCAAGTCTTAAGAAATGTTCGTGTGCCACATGTTTAAGATAGTCTATGTCTGCATTGTGGTGAAAACTGTAATAGTGAAGTTAGGTTTCTTGTTGATCTGTTTTAGAAGTTATTTTGCGTGTGTGCATACTTTTTCTTTTAAGTTGTAAATGCATCTCTGTATTCTCCTTCATGTACTGCCTTTATCCTTTGTAAACTGAATTTTAAAATGTCATACTTAAGCTTTGCATGGTGGTGCTTGGTTGTCATCCCATGTCTTCCTATTCAGGAAGATGCGGCAGCAAGGTCGCTTAAGCCCAAGAGTTTGAGGTTGTAGCAAACTATCATGCCACTGCACTCCAGCCAGAGTGGAGTAAGATTCTATCTCAAAAAAAAAAAAAAAAAAATTCAGTGCCAAATTTTGGTGAGAGGCAGAGCACCTCGAGCTCTCATACATTGCTGATAGGATGCAAAATATGACAGCCACTCCAGAGAAGTGTGACAGTTCTTCAAAAGGCTAAATGCAGAATTAACCAGATTCCCCAGCAGTACCATTTCTCAGGAGAAATGAAAACTTGTGTCCACATAGACTTACGGGCTAATGTTCATAACTTGAAACAATCCCGTTGTTCTTTACCTGGTGAATAGATAAATTGTGGTATGTCTGTCTAATGGAATATTAAGCAATAAGTGGAAAGAACTGCTGATATACACATCAATATAGATGAATTTCAAAAGCATGCTAAGTATAGAAGCTAGATATAAAAAGTTACATAATGTATGAATCCATTGATACGAAATTTTAGAAAAGACAGCCTACAGTAACGCAAACAGATCAGGTTTGTCTGGGGCCAGTGAGGAACAGGGAGAAGAGTGACTGCAGTGGGATGAAGGTATTGTGGAGTGATAGAAGTACTCTATATCTGGACTGTGTGGGTGGTGACATCGTGTCAGAATTCATTGAACTATGCAGTTAAATGAGTGGATTTTATAATATGTAAATTACACTACAGGAAAGCTGTTTTTTTTTTTT